AAGATGTTGGAATAAATGAACATCCATAGGCATAAAAAAAATCCTATATGTAAGTCTCATATTTCATGCCAAACGAATTCTAAATGGACCATGGCCTTAGAAGTAAACTGTAAGACCACCGAACTTTTAGAGAAGAACACAAAAGAGATATATTATCCATAAAGAAAAAAATTGACAAACCAGACTTCATCAAAATTAAAAACCTTTGCTCTGTGAAAGACTCCATTTAGAGAGAGACAAGTTATAGAGTGGGAGGAAATACTTGGAAATCAATTTGGATATTGGACAAAGGACTAGTAGTATCTAGAATATATATTTTAGAATATATATTTAAAAAAAACAACAGGGTCTTGGGGCACCTGGGTGGCTCAGTCGGTTAAGCGTCCGACATCAGCTCAGGTCATGATCTCATGGCTCGTGGATTAGAGCCCAGCATCGGGTTCTGTGCTGACAGCTGGCTCAGAGCCTGGAGCCTATTTCAGATTCCGTGTCCCCCTCTCTCTCTGACCCTCCCCTGATGATGCTGTCTCTCTCTCTCAGAAATAAATAAGAAACATTAGAAAAAAAATTAAAAACACACACACACCCAAAAAAAACCAAAACAGGGTCTCAGGGTGGGTTAGTTGGTTAAGTGGCCAACTCTTGATTTCGGCTCAGGTCATGATCCCAGGGTCATGGCATTGAGCCCTAGGCCGGGCTCTGTGCTGAGTATGGAACCTGCTTAAAATTCTCTCCCACCTTTCCCCTGCTCACACTCTCTTCTCTCTCTTTCAAAATAAATAAACTTACTTTAAAAAATTTATTAAAAAAACACTCAAAACTCAAGACTAAAAACAATAATCCAATTAGAAAACGAGGGAAAGACATGAAGAAACCCATCACTAAAGAAGAAATATAGGCACCAAGAAGCACATGAGAAGATGTTCAGCATCATTAGCCTTTGGTGAAGTATAAAATAAAACCAGAATATCACTACACACCTAGCAGAATGACTAAAATAAAAATTAGTGACATCCCCAAATGCCTATGAGGAAGTGAGGAAACTGGATCTTTTAAACATTGCTGGTGAGAATGTAAACCAAGTACAGCCACTCTGGAAAATAGTTTGGTAATTGCTTAAATACTAAACATTCAACTACCATATATGACTCAGTGATTTCACTGCTGGGCATTTATCCCAGGAAAATGAAGACTATGTTTACACAAAAAGCTGTAAACAAATGAACATAGCAACTTTATTCGTAATAGCTCAAACTGACCAGATATCCTCCAGCTGGTAAATGGCTAAACACACTGTGATACATCCATACCATGGAACCCTACTCAGCACTAAAATAGGAAGGAACTCTCAGATGCACTCGATACACAAAATAAGCAGTATGAATCTCCAAGAGAATTTGCTGAATGAAAAAAGAGCTAATCCCAAAGTGTAACATACTGTAATATTCCAATTATATATTATTAAAATAACAAAATTATAAGGGTAGAGATCAGATTATAGTTGGAAGGAGGGGGTGGGGATGGGAGCAAAGTGGGTGTGGCTACAAAAGGGCAACAGGAGGGGTCTTTGTTCTTGAATGTCATAAAGGGAAATGCTCTGCACATTGACTTTATCAGTGTCATTATCCTGGATGTGACAGGGTAGTATAGTTTTGCCAGACGTTACCACGGGGTAAAGCGGGCGAAAGGTACATGAGAGGGATCTTCGTACTGTTTTTTTACAACTGCATGTGAATCTACAGTTATCTCAAAATGAAAGTATGCTAATAAAATATGAGCATTAAACATCTTTTACAGTTCATAAAATGGGCTCTTTATTTTCAATGTTCATGCCATTCCAAAGCAATGTATTGGTCAGCTGCCTCCATCCCAGGCTTGAGAAGTTTACTATAACATAGAAAACTTTTCAGTTACTCAGAACTATATTTGGTCATAGATCAGGACACAACAGGGAAGTCCAAATTTAGAACAAATACTATCCCTACTGCATCCAAGATAGAACTAATTTAAATGATATATGATGGTTACCTTACTGAATTGTGGCATCTACCCCACCGCAAAGTAATAACTAAATCTTTAAAAGTTGTGGTAACCTTTAGGGAACTTATAACATTAGGTTTGGCACTGGAAATAGGTCAGATGTGGTCAGGTACATGGAGAACGCCTTTAAATGAATTTAAAATGACCATAGCACCTGAGAGAATTTGAAAGAATGAAATAAAATACAATATTCTCCACATTATAATTTGGTGTTTTATTTCTAGAATCTGCTTTGACCTGAAAGCTTTTCACGATCAGCAGTCTTCAGCTATGCAAGTTACTAAAACCTTGTATCTTAGTTTTGGGCTAAATCTCAAATTTCTAGAGATGTAAACTTGCTTCTCATCTGCTCTGACTTCAGTATGCCAGATGCCATTACACAGTGGCATGAAACTTTCAGAAGGCATTAGAACCTGAAATTAGTACCAATAAGTCCTCACTGAGGCTAACTAGCTGCATTTCTAAGTTTTCCACCAATGCTAACAGGTTTTGGAATTAGCAACTACTGTCTAGCACTACTTACAGTAAACACTTAAAAATCTGTACTTTGGGTTGCCAAAGTGGGAATTAGTGCCCTTTCAAGTTTATTTAAAGACTCAGTTCAGTTCTAGCAGACTCCCTCTCAAACAAGTAGGGGTGTTATGCACATAACGACTGCACAGGAAATCTGGTTTTACCTTCTACCACTTACATTTGAAGGAGAAATGCCATCGCTACACAAAACCTACAGGAATCCCACTCTGAGTAATTAAGTGACCAACCTCTTAAAAATCTGCCAGAAACAGCTATGTCTATAAAAATCTACCTAGTGGGTCAGTTATTTAGTTCTATTTCTGCATTTAAGACGAGGATTATTTGGAGAAAAAGATAGCATGTAATTTTCTGTTAACCAAATAATTGCCAGAACTTAGGATTGAAATGGCTGTTCTGGTGAATTTAAATTATGAGAAAATGGGTTAACAGGAGAAGATATCATGTATGCTGTCAAATAAGCGGTATAGTGTCGTTCTTTTTGGGCTCCTGCTGGTGAAAATCTTGCTAAGTATATTTCCTGGCTTAAGACATCAAGCTGTTCAAACCTTCGGGTAGACAGAAGAGGTCTGGGATCCACAGGGCAGTGTTTCATTTTCTTAAGTGAATCATGAAAATACACAAACAACTTTTTCTTTTTCCGGGAAAGAAGGCTGCCCGATGATGTTCTTTACCAGTAATGAGAATTTTTCATCATCTTTAAATGAACCAAAAATATCGTTTAACTCCTAACTTGCCCAAAAAACTCTATCCCGTTTTTTAAATATATTTTTTGCAGCAACCTGGTAATGTATAAACAGTAGTCATTCCTGACTTAAAAAAATATGCTGAATACATTACCCTCGTAAATTATTCTTTACTATTAAGGTGGACAAGGATTTTTTTCTTTACACAGGTTTTATCTTTTATTGTGTTCTTTTTCCTACATGAAGAAACAAAACATTACAGCAACGAGAAACACTATTCTGCACTTTTCTTGCTAAATCACAGACTAATGTTGTGCAACAAAAGGTCTTCAAAAATCATTTTTTGTTATAAATTTGTCAAAAAAGGTTGATATTCAAAACACTGTTTTTGTGTGTGTACAAAATTTTACATTTTTTTAAAAAAAGCAGTGAAGACGGTGAAAGACCCAGGGGCAGCCTTGTTCAAAGTGCAGCATTCTGTTGATGACGCAGCCATTGCTGAGCACGCAGAGTGCTGGGTGGGGCGGTGGTGTGTGTGACTCCAGACGCCGCCTTCATGGTTTCCTGTCGCCAGCCAAGCTCCATCTGGGCCCACTGTATGCTTTTCTAGATACTACTAAATACAAGCTGCATTACGTTGCGATGGCTCCCATTATTCCTTTACCATCGATCACTGTGTAAAACCAAAACACGTTCCTATTTAATGGCCAGGACCACAGTCAAACACTTCATGCCACACCGTCGTTCAATTTATGCACAGAGGCTGGTTAATCTCAATCTGCGTTGCCCGAGAATGTCTTTGGAGCACGTTAGGGTGAACAATACGTGTCAGCTGAGAAGGAAGCTTCTTGAGATTCCGTCGGACTCAGATTCAAATACGTGGACAGTCATAACAACGGCTCCAATTGTATTGTCCATGGTGGCAGCTTCACCTTCCAAAACATTCTGAAACTAACCTAAAGGAAACTTCAAGAACCTGAAAAACTTTGCTATTATTGTACTATTTTTTCATTTCATATTTTCAAATAGAGACAACTCTTTGTGTTACAAGTATTTTGGGGTCAAATTTTCCCTCAAAGTCAGTTATTTCTCAAAAGAATGCAAGCCACTAGAGTTCCTGTTTTTAATCACTGACCTGTGTCCCTGTTAAAATAATTTATAAATGATTAGGCTTTAAATGAAGGTGCTAAAATGATGCAAAACAATATTGTGCTTTTGCTATCACTGGGAACTTGCCATGAAGTGAACAGAATAAGTGAATCTGCTTGTATGAGAATAAACATTTTATCAAGTACAACTGTGGCAAAAAATGAACCGATTTGTGGGAACCAGTGGGAGTTTTATGTAGCCGTAAGATACTGGGTTATCACATGAAACAGCACACTTCTTTTCATGTTCGAGCAGGCCTGGTGGGCTTGCACTGACCTCAAATCAGGTAGTATCTGTACGAAGTTCCCTCCCCACAAAGCCCATCTCGTTACTAAAGCAAGCTGATTTGGGAAACACAGTCTCCAAGTTTCTAATCACTCACTCACAAGAACGTTTTCTACAGTCTCCTGTGGGAAAAAAAGGAGTTTTGCTGACATGCAAGGCAGCTCCTACTAGTAGCAAAACTTGTCAAGATTGCCAAAATTAAACACCTTGAGTAAACTGGTAGTCCAGAAGGGCAGAAGAGCTGCTGTGTGGTTATGTCAAGTGCTGGTCCCACAAAAGCAGAGTCCTCATGAAATAGAACTATCCAGACACTTTTAAAATCATCTTTATTTTGGTTGCAAAGATACACTTTATTCACTTAATATTTTATTTGTTCCCATTTGGAGTCTCATAGCTCGCCATGTAAAACACTGACTTCACTATCAAACTGCTATATAAGAACATTGTTATAAAATACAAACTATAAACTAAGACAATCTTCTTTATAGTATTCAGATTAGTGCATCAAAACAACATTGATTTAAAAAGGCAAGTGAGTTAACTGGCAAACATCCAAATCGTTTTCTAATGAAGGATGGTACAAAACAGTATGCAAGGTAAACATTAAATTTTAAGTGTTAGTGCTCAAAAACAGCAATTCTGGGAGAGGTGCTCCCCAAAAGTAATTCTGACTCAAGGATACACATGTAGCCATAATTCCAAAGGATTTCAGGGAAGGTAATTAATTTCCCATCCTAATAGCTGTGGAAGTATACAACAGAATAACAAGTTGGATCTTCAGATTTCTAACATAGCATGAACTGATTTTTCATTCTCTTCCTCCAAATTACATGAAACACTTATGGTGACTACACATACCCCAGCAAGCGTCAGACTTAAACAGGTCCTATGCAAAAACAATTATCCTTAGTATTTTACTAGGCAATCTACAGCAAATGCTTAATATATATATATACACATCAGGAGGATGAGATATTCTAAGAAATTATTCACTGATTTCATTTAGAAGTAAACAAGGGTCTTAAGAGAAAACTAACAATCAAAGTTAAATAAAATAGGTAACATGTGCTGCTATAACCCAGAAAACAAAACAAAACAGCACAAACAGGTAGGTTAATTTTTTTTAAGTTATTAAGAATATTTCCTCTGCTGGCCCAAATCAAAATTACATTTGAGATTTTTAATTGAAGTCACACAAATCTGGGTGCATGTCACTCTGTGACAGAGACAGATGCACACAGAACACACACACACAAACAGACACACCTTTAAATTTACTGATCCCAGAAGCTAAGACAACAGGGCAAATAAATTATAAATGAAAGGCATATACATTGTGGACAAAACCTCAGAGTTACTAGATCGAAAACCACAGAAGTTATGCCAGCAGTGATACTGAGAAAAACTTTCAGTGTTAGAAAATACCCGATTGAATCCAAAAGAAACTTCCCCCGCCAAATAAAAAAAATTATGGGAGTCATCCTTTATGCAATGGCTTTAAAATAATAATAATAATAAAAACCCACGATTACAGGAATCTTTGTACATAATTTAGAGAATGTAGTGCAACCGTGTGCTCCTTTAGAATTCAGCCTTTCACTTTCCATATGATGAGACCGAGAATTACAAGTCCGATGACAATGATAAAAATGATGATGCACAGGGTTTTCCTGGATTTGCGCTACAGATGCAAAAACAAAAAAAACATGTTTACGTATGTAGGGGAGCATCTCCATAGCAACTGAAAATCTTTGGTTCATTTCTAGAGTAAAACCAATAGTAATTAACTGCCCTCAAATTTTTGGCTATACTTTTTTGCTTCTCCAAAATCTCTTCAAATACTAATGGCACTATTCTTTTAAAAAACAGTCTTCTTGGATTAATGGCTTAATTCAGGGGCTAATTATTCAACTTTTATCGGTAATTTTTCCGGGCTTAAAAAACAAGACGCGGAGAAAAGTTACTGACTTAATCAACGGACTGAGGTTACCTGTGTGTAAAAACTAAGGACGGCTTAAAAGCGTACGCATTTAAAAATTTTAATTTTTATCAAAGAACTGCTCTTCAAAATGAATTCTCTGAAAATATCACCAAGCATGAACGCTTGGCAATTTTTCCTCAAGTATTCGTTTCCAGAATTCCCATTCTTTAATATCAACAGAAACTGCATTCAAAATCTCAACGTACAAAGAAAAACCAAACAGCTAAAAAGTTACAATACAGTCACTTAAAATGCAAAGGTTAAAAGTTTTGTTCCATTCTTCATTCCTGGCCCAGCTGCAGATTTCCAGATTTCTTTAATGGCTTGCGTTATCTCACAGCAACATGCAGGAATCCTTTTTCTTACAAAGTAAAAAAATCTGTAAATTTTCTTTGCGTCGACTAGTAAGTAGTCCCATAAAATTTCCAGAAAGATAGGTTTCTATGAAATTCTGCTGAAAACTGTAATGACTTTCAGTATACCACATTGTCAGCAACTTCTTCAAAGGAATATTCCTCATATATGAAGCACAATTTCTCTCAAGTTTCAGTAGCATCTTGCCTACATAGTTTCCCCAGACTCCACTTGAGTACCACGGACATAAGTATAATACACCTTTAAGAACAATCACAGGCTCCCCACTCCAGGGCATCTGTCGCCCAGGGGCACCCTCCCTAGTGTGGGGTGGTTAGGTCCCAGACCACTGCAATGAGAAGAGCCTCTATCAGCTTCCCTTCCACTCATGGTTCACCCCAATCACATTTTGCAGAGGCGTGACTTTACTAGCAAGGCCTCCAAGGAGAAGTGGAGGGAGGCTGCTGTTTTCCCCAGTGCTTGTGCCGCAAGGCTCTTTCCTTCTCCCTCCAGGGCCCATGGGATTAAGTAGGGGGGCAGCTCCGGGTAAGGAGGTGGGAAGATTGGGAAGATGTGTTCCTTTGCCCAGGGCGGATGCAGGCTGGCCCTACAGATCTCCACCCCTCCAAATTCCAAAAGCAAAACAAAACGGCATGAGAGCCTAGCTACTGATAAATCCTGCCAACCGCTGTTGTTTGAGCAGCTGTTAACCTAGCATTTGTAGGTTACTGTGCGTGTGTGGATGTATGTTCAACCATTCATGAATGAAACTATGGTCTGTGGTATTAATTTTTCCGAGCCGCACACCTGAACCACAGGCAAGTGGAAGGTAGAGGGAGTGAGAGTTACTGCATCACTGAAAACAGCTGGCCGTAACTCTGCAGTCTCGATAGAGCTTCACCGTTCTCTGTGTATCACTAAGGCTGCAGTGGTTTGTCTAGTGAAAAATGGCACTGCAATGAAAGTAAGCTTCTGGGGTTAGTGACAAAAGTGAAAAGCAATTGAAAACACCTAAGATGGTGACAATACCTTAGATATTTTTATAGGAAGGCAACAAGACCTGAGAAAATAATGATAAACAACAAAAAGGGGAGTTTTAAAAGGGCCTTAACCTTATAGTCTCCATATCCTGAAATACATGAATAGCTCATTGATCCTAATGTTTGTGGAGTGCTTTCACCTACTTTCTACTTGTCACATAGAGAGGGACTCCCTGTATTAACCTCATTCATGCAAAAGATCAGTTCATTCCTGGAGGGTCTGCTAAATGCGGACACAATACCTATAGTGATCAGGGACACTCCAAGTGAATACAATTGCCATAGGAATTAAGAGAACTCTCTAGAGCAAAGACCTTTGTCTTCTTAGTACAGAGAGGGTCATGGGCCAAAAAAAAAAAAAAAAAAAGGTGAAAGGAAAGAGTGAGATAAACAGAGAGGAGGGGTTGGCATCAGAGACCAACAGCTGTCAGAAATGCCCAGAGGTGTCAGGTGCTCCCCTCCGGACTCTAAACACGGAATCTCCTCTCCCTGTGGGCCACACTTCTGGTTCAACCCTGAGAATAGACAGGCTCACCCCAGTTTTACACTGACCGGCTATGTCTGACTTGTCTTCCATGGGATGACATCTTCTGATTGACCTCTCTCTCTCTCTCTCTCTCTCTCTCTCACACACACACACACACACACACAGAGCTGAAAATCAAAGTTACTTTGCAGTAATTTACTGCAGTTAATATTACCTGATATTCTGCTGCCCTTGATAGCTGTTGGTTTGCTTGCTGAACGTGCACCTCTGCGTTTTCCACATTGGCTTCTATGCTATCTTTAAAATAAAACAGACATACACACATGCAAAACTGCAAGACGGTTGTTGATGCCCCAGTAAGAGAGCCGCATACAGCACAAGATTTCATTCAATGTAGGAGCAACCATACTCACTATTCAGATGTTAACGTTAATACTATGTGGGCAAAGTCAATTTTTTTTTGGTTAAATTTGTTTTTTGTTTGCTATAACTCTTCCCTATACTATTTCTCAAAGGATCCAAATGACACACAAATATGTGAAAAGAAACCGGATCATCTTCACTACAACCCAGCCCCAGGTCTACCTGGTTAGCCCCAAAGCGTACTATTTAGTCTGTGGGCTCCCGTGGCCAATGTGGTACTAACCATCTAAAAACTGTCCCTGAGGGTAGATACAGAGTATCAAAAACCACCTGCTCTGTGGTTCTCATCAAGCTACTTCTGTGCCGAAACCCACCCTCCCGGGGTCCACCCGCCTTCCTAAGTTCTCCTTCCCTCGCTGCTCCGGCCTAGAGGTAGAAGCGGGGTCAGCTGCACGAGACCACTGCCCTCCCTCTCCCTACCAACTCTCAGAGTAAAGCCCATGCTTGCGAATGCATTCAACCCCCTAGTAGCAAACCTACAGACCTCATAGTCTTGCCTTCATTCCTGGAATACTGTAGCTCTAGATTCACTTTGATGCTTCTCCTATTATACAAATTGGTGATTTCACGAGTCAATTGTTGGCCTGCTAATACTTGGCCTCCTCACTGCCCTGACCACTTTTTCAAGGATTTTGCCTATTCTCCTGCCCCAGCCACCCACCTCCATGACTGTATCCCAAACCTCATCATTACAAATAACTTCAGTTTCTCAATAAACTCAGTTTCACACCTCACTCTTTGAGCATCACTACTTTTACCGCACACTCCTTCAAATACTGTGACTTCACTGACCCTAGCCCTATGTCATTGTCCCTCAACACACTTCACCTTCCTCCTTCCCCAGCTCAGATCCCCTGGGCCACCACTTACCCACACTTCCTTACATTCACCCTTGGCTCCCTTGCCACCTCCTGTAGTCAGATTTATGAGATAAAACCCCAACCTGTACCCTCGCAGCTGATATGGGTGCAAAAAACCATAACTGACATCAATTTATTTCACCTGAAATTCCTGACTGCCAAGCAAGCCTACTTCATTTCAACTGGTCCCTCAAACTTAACATTTCCAAAAACTGTTGATTCCTAGCCCTCTAAACCTGCTTCAGTTTAAATTTCTCTATCTTAGAAAATGGCAACATCATGGTGTTCCTTGGCTTGCCCAAAACCTTAAAGAGTTGTCCTTGAAGTACTTCTGTCTCATACTCTCATATCCACATCTAGCCAGTCAGTAAGTCTTTCTGGTTTTACATTTTATTTTAAAAAAAAAAATTTTTTTTAATGTTTTTTATTTATTTCTAGGAGAGAAAGAGAGAGAGACAGCGTGAGCAGGGGAGGGTCAGAGAGAGAGGGAGTCACAGACTCTGAAACAGGCTCCAGGCTCTGAGCTGGCAGTCAGCACAGAGCCCGACGTGGGGCTCGAACCCATGAACCGCGAGATCATGACCTAAGCGAAAGTCGGACGCCCAACCGACTAAGCCACCCAGGCGCCCCTGGTTTTACATTTTAAAACTACCCAGAATTCCACTACCTCTCACCACTTTGCTACTTCCATCTTGATCCAAGGCAACACATCACCCACCCAAATTGCAGCAATCATCTTTAAAGTGGTCTCTCTGCTTTTGGTCTTGCCCTTTTACAGTCTGCTTTCAAACTAGTAGCCAGGGTGAGTGTTTTAAAACCTAAGTCAGGGGTGGCTGGGTGGCTGTTGGTTGAGCATCCAATTCTTGATTTCAGTTCATGATCCTAGGGTCATGGACCGAGCCCCAAATTGGGCTCTGCACTTAGTATTGACCTACTTAAGATTCTGCTTCCCTCTCTCCCTCTCTCTGCCCCTCTCCCCTACATGTACTCTCTTTCTTTCAAAATACAGTATAATACAATACAAAAACCCTAAGTCAGATAATAACACTGCTCAAATCTTCCTGTGGCTTTCCATCCATTAATAATAATGAAAGTCTTCACAATGTCTCAGGATCCTACATGATGCTGCACTTTATGGCTCCTGACATCATCTCTACCTCCCTCTTGCTCACTTCACTCACCAAAAGCATCAGACATGTTTCTACCTGAGGGCCTTTGCACCTGTCCCTTGCTCTGCCTAAAAGATTTTCTTGCACTTGCTCCCTTATTTCCATAAAGTCTTGGCTGAAATGTCACCTTTCAGTAAGGTCTTTCCTGACTACCCTAGTAAAGCTGTAACATTCTCCGCTGCGAGCAGCCCCATCCTCCTGCATTCGCTATTTTCCCCAATAGCAGTAATCAGTATTTATTTACTTTTCTTTCCTTTTGCAAAAATTGTCTTTCTCCTCCAATTAGATTATAAGAATCATGAAGGCAGGGTCTTTTACCATTTGTTTAATTTCAGCTAAATCCTCAATGCCTATATTTGTGCTTGGATATAGCAGGCACTCAATGAATATTTACTAGATGAATGGTTTTTGAAATTTTCTCCCATGATCTACTGTAACTACAGAGAAAGGTCAGAATGGACACAAAATACTTATTTGTAGTAAAGTATAGGTCAAAGTATTTCAACTGAACCAAATTCAGAAAATCTACTAAATGTATCTTTAGATACATCTACTGGTATCTTGTTTCCAAATGATAAAAATGATCAGGACACTGATCAGTGCTGACAGTTATACCTTAAGTGAAAAACTATCACATTTAAAACTTATAGGGAGTCTTAGTCACGGATTTTTTTAAAGAATTTATAAAAGAATGCTCACCATCTAGTACAACTAAATTAATCTACCAAAAAGATATTAGAATAAATGATTAGGCAAATGGCTCCCTAGTCTCTCAAATCTAAAAGATAAATGGCATGCACAATTATAAACACCACAAGCTTCCCAGAAAGTGCTTGGTGTGATGAGAATGAACAGGGATTAAGACGGAAACCAGGGGTCCTGCAAATAAGCAGCAACGAGGCTATGTGGTGCCTTCTGTGGTCTCCACAGCAGAAGGCTCTGATTAGATTTGGGGACTCAGAAAAAAACCTGAAGCTAGTTGATTCCATCAGTAGGAGCCAAAAAGGAGATCTGTTTTAGATAATGCCAAAGGTGACAGTTTGTCTGTTGTAGAGGCTGTACTTTTAATTCTAAGGCATCTGAAAGAGAGGCGCTACTCTTGCTTGAGAAGTTACCACAGGCAGGGGCACCTGGGTGGCTCAGTTGGTTAAGTGTCCACCTTTGGCTCAGGTCATGATTTCGGGGTTCGTGAGTTCAAGCCTGTGTAGGGCTCTGTACTGATAAGCTCAGAGCATGGAACCTGTTTTGGATTCTGTGTCTCCCTCTCTCTCTGTCCCTCCCCAGCTCATGCTCTGCCTTTCTCTGTCTCTCAAAAATAAACATTAAAAAAAAAAAAAAAAAAAGAAGTTACCACAGGTAAACTGCTGTAGCCTGCTCCCACCTCAGTGGGGCTTACCTATCACATCTCCTTGCTCGTGAATCATCATCCCCAAATCTTTAAATATTTCATTAATATCCATAATATCAGCCTGAGAGAAAAAAAGTACATATTATTATAATCAGAAATTCAGCTCCCAACTCACAAAAGGGGAAAATTAAGTGAGAATGCATTTAGACTTAAACCATAAATTGTGGAAATATCAGAAAACTATTTTACTATAATTAACCCTAAGTGACATGACCTTGAACAACTGTAACCAGTTCTTTAAAAGTAAGTTTGTGACATTAAAACTACCAAGCATAGAAAACAGGAATCTATAAGAGAGAAGGGCCCTGGGTTACTGAGTTTAGTGAACGTAATCCGATAGTTTTGTTATCACTAGCAGTACTTCCTCCTAAGAATAAAACATATTATTGTTAGGCTGTATTTCTAGTAAAACTGACACATCAATTTGACACTGGCAAAGTACAAAACATTAGGTATAAATTTAAAGTCTCACATTAATACATTTGCAGTCAAATGCTCTACCACGGAGCTATACCCCCTCACATTAATAAATCTGATTATGCAATGTAACAGTGATGAAGTTATCAATTTACTTTTCTTTAGTATATGATAACTTTTATTTTGTCCTATTAAAGAGTAAAGTTTAAATATGTTATTGGGGGGTAATTTCCATATTCATCCTGTGCCTTATTTCCTCGTCCATAAAATGGTGATGATGACAACAGTTAACTACTTCACAGTTTTTACGGGAACTAAATGAGATCATGCAAAGAACTGATCACATGGTGCTTGAAAACCCTTAGTAAACTGAGCTACTGGTAGCTATTATTAGCCTACCTTCTAGGGAATATGTAGCTTCCAAAAGAACGGAGGCTTACTAAACCCTTTAGAGCTCTTTGAGGTCAAGAACATGCTACAGAGAAGTAAGATACGTGTAAAGTCCCCATCGAGTCTTATTCATTTGGGTCTGAGGTGCACCACATGCTACGAAAACCATCCAGACCCCCTGAACACAGATCTCTGAACCGAGATTTCCTCCGTGTGAAGGACCTGAGGTGACCCGACAGGATAAAAAACAAATTTGGAGACAAGGCAGGTCTGTCCTCTCATTTTAGCACAAATTCTAAAGAGATTTATTTTTAAAAAGGGAATTATTCCCATCTGTAAGAAATGCCACCACCACACTGATACACTGAGTTTTCTTTCCCAGCCCCTCCCCTAGCATCATCACGAACACGCTGAGGACATCATAGCAGCCAACCAACGGCCATGTAAAGCTTACTTCAAGTTGCCTAATGGAAGACTCTCTCTCATGAATAAGGCGGAGGTCATCTTCTGTAATTTCTTCATCCTGCACCTGCACCTGAGGTTGAGCTTGGCTAACAGACAGAATATGGGGGAAAAAGAAAAGACTGGTATTAAAATAGTGGGAGTTCTTTCCTTATTTAAGAAATACAAAATAGAGTATCTCTTCTTCAAAGTCAGAGAACTGTTTAAATTTCCTATTTAAATTTTAAGAATATAACAGAAGTATTAATCAAATTTTATGCATGTTTCATTTCACTTACATTGTTTTTAGAGTTATTATTTAATTACTGGAAGTTATATTTGGCAAATGAGCATGTCTTCCTGTTGACTTCAACCTCACATGAGGAAATAATCTACATCAAATAATTAAGTCAATGTTTATTTGGATACATCATTATTTACAAAGTGTTACTGCTATATTGGAATATTCCCTCTCTCTATTTTTTAATGTTTATTTATTTTGAGAGAGAGAAAAAGAGAGAGAGCAAGTGAGCAGGGGAGGGACAGAGAGAGTGAGGAAGAGAGAGAATCTCAAGCAGGCTCTGCCCTTTCAGCACAGAGCCTGACATGGGCTCGAGCTCACAAACCAGGAGACCATGACCTAAGCTGAAATCAAGAGTCAGACACTTAACCAACGGAGCCACCCAGGCACCCCAGAATATTTTATATATTTATAATTTTATAAACTATTTTGAAAAAAAGTTCAAATTTATTGCTATTTATAAATAACTGAGGACATTCATGATATAATAAACTGAAAGGGACCCTAATGTATAAAATGAATTTGGAAAATTATCTTTTGATCAGTATGGTTTGTATTTCTTACCTTTCCCAGGATACAAGATTCCTCTCCCTTGAGCTGTCCTCAGGAAAACCACCCTGAATAATTTAGGAATAGAATGGATTGAGAAAGGGCAAAGAAAAAACACACAACACTTAACATTTTCCCTTATGATAATCTAAACTGATTTATGTACACATGTGCATGCATGGGTGTGGAGAGAAATGTTCTTATTCTAATTTTTTAGATCAAGTGCTTCAAGTAACATTAAAATTGTATCCTAAGCTGTCAAGAAAGGAATTCACTAAATATTCTAAAGGGCCAAATAATAAATATTATTTGATTAGTATATAATGGGCTCCTGGAACCTCTACATTAGGAACAAGGAAACGACTTGCAATAGTTTCTAAGGGAATTTAAAATTAGATTAACTCAAAATTCCACCTTAAATTATGCTTATGTTTATTTTCTCCAGGCTTATATTTTCAATATTCACACAATAATTCACTGTTCATTTCCATCATCTCCATATAACCCAGGACTAAAGTGTTCCCTTCATCAGCCCAGATGCCTAGCGATAACTTCTAGTACAAATCACTGTGGGAATTTCACTCAGGATCTGTCTGACCCCTTGTCTTTTCTGACAAAATGTCTCTACATTTTTATACAGTAATCTGTAATCTTTGGTTCCACAACATGTACAAAATAACCCCAACAGTACAGAACTACCATCCTTCTTAAAATGGAACAACCTGAAAATAAATAATCAAGTATTAATTTCCAGGATAGTCACAGATCATTCTGACTTTAAAAAAATGTCAGTGGGGCCTTTCAAGGGAACATCACGTTCACTTTAGAATGGCTCGTTAAATACTCACAGATACTCTGGAACTGGCTCTCACTCGAGCAACAAACTCTTTCTCTTTCTCGGCAGCTTCCCTCTGGACCTTTTGAAAGTTTGTCAGTGATGTCGTGAATTGAGCCACTAAGCGATCCTTCTGTATTTTCCTTTGACGCTACAGGAAAGGGGAGAAACCTACTAGAATCAAGTTGTGAAGTTCTAGAGAATTCGCAGAAGTTGTTTCACCACTAGCTGGCTCTTTACTTTATTCTGAAATTTTCACTTGCTCTCCAATTATGGGCCCTCACTGATTAACTCTCAATAACATTTTGACGATATGACCAAATACTATGTATATTCACCACCTTGAGACAAAAGGTCCATAATGTTGGGTTTCTCACCTCTTATCTTCATCCTAAAGACTTGGCCATGATTTTGAGATTATTCTGAAGTAGCTCATTTTGTTCTCTTTTTGGGAAAATAAAACCTTGTACTCTTACCTAAGTAATAACTTCCACTAAGTAATAAGCAAGGAAACAAATATGTGCCCCTAGGAAACCTTGCATCTTGAATGAGTGTGCCCGTCGCATGGAGTCAGCCCTGGAAAGCCAGGAAACAATTACTCAGGAAGCATTTTCTGAGCACTTGCTTAATTATGGGTAAGAGCAACTTCATGGAAATAATTTCTGCTTTATTGAACCACAGGATACTACCTGGGCAATTAAATATAGTTTTGTGTTCTGTGAACTAATCTCAAGTACAATTTGTCCCCCTTGATTTCCTTTCTAGCATAACAGTTCAAAGACCCTACAATGCATGTGATTTCTTTCGCATTCAATACATCAACAATGTGTCTTAAGGCTGGATACCTGTTCGCTGGGTGTGGTGGGCAGGGATCCAAACTCTTTAATGTACTTATCGGTCTCTTTGGCAAGTTGGTTAGTATACTGCTGCTTCTGTTGCCTACAGTGAGAAAACACACATTATAGCCAAAGAGCGAAGAGATTTCTTTAAGTTACAATGCTGCCAGTTGAATTGATCCTGATGAATACTTTGATAAAAATCATCCCCTTCTTTTTTATAGACTGGCTCTAAATTTTCTCTATGAAAACGAAAATGTTCAGGTTCTATTTTCTGATAGATAGTGATCAAATATTACATGGAAAGTTCTTTACTCACACCAGGCAACCAAGCTTTGAGAAATCAGTAGTCATTTAGAAAGGAAGATGACTGGAGCCACAGCCAGACTGTGGGATATGTGATATTTCAGATAAGTAGTGGGGGACGGGGTGGGGGGCTTCTGTCTGCATCCCACAACTGGAGGTCAGTTGAATAAATGAAAAGGATCAGTCTCCTGAGACTCTGTCCAGTTCTCAGGGCTGGAGGTACATCTATCCTCTCCTCTTTCTCTATCTGGACATTTGTATCATTATACATACTTTAAAAAAAAGACAGGAAGAGGTAATAAATAATAATACACATCTACTATTTTCCAAATTTGCTGTGGAAAAAATAATAGTATTTCTCTGTAAAGAGAAAGAACAGAGTAAGAAATAAGTTATATCAGTATTTGTATCTATCTTGCTAGCTGGCTTATAAAGTAAAAAGTCAGATTTTTAACTAAAGAACTTGACTCTTAAAAAAAATAAGCTTATACCAATGTGAGGCTTTACAAATTACAATATTAGTGCTTTTCATATATTATCTCTCATTTTAAACACCTATATGAGCCATCCTTTAAAATAATGAGATACTATATAAGAGTATTTTAAAGTATAGAGAACTGTATTTGACTGATAAAGAATTACTAACTACTGTTATCTATTTACCAAATCTCCTACCTTTAACAAACCCTTCAAAATCTTTAAGAAATGAAATATAGCTAAATTTCTGAAAAGAAGACTTGATTGGTATCTACTTATTCACAATCTCTACTATCAACCTTAGCAAGATATTATAACTATTAAGAATTATGTGTTTCTGTTCCATTTTAGTTTAACAAATGATGGTTTAGTACTTAATCTTGGGGCATTCTTATTACCCCAACATCTCTGCACTACAGAAAACATCAATATAAATTAGACCTAACTATAAATTCTTCAAATTTTTTTCATAAGAAACATGATTTCCTATCACTTATCTTTAAACTTCTTGCTCTCTGCAATTTTTCCCTTTTTTTTTTAAGTTTACTTATTTATTTTGAGAGAGAGAGAACACGTGAGGGGAGGGGCAGAGAGAGAGGTGAGAGCAAGAATCCCAAGCAGGCTCCCACAGAGCCTGACGTGGGGCTCGAATTCACATGATCCACTCAGGTGCCCCAGCAGTTTTTTTCTTCTATAGCTAATATTGTTTCCGATCTCATTTACTACATATTTTCTACTTGAAATTGGGCTGTAACAGCACTGAATTAAGATTTAAGATTCAGGTTTAGAATGATGTTAGGCAAATCATCAAACCCTCACAAGACCTATTTTTCTTACAAGCAAAATGAAAATAATTATTTTGATCCATGTATTTCACTCTAATTTTGTAAGATTCATTCATTACACATTTGTGAGAAAATGTGTAAAAATACTGTAAAATCTGTAACATCACCAAGTATTATTGCTGTTCTTCTAGCAGCATATTAATTTACTGAAACATGTACTGCACCACTTCATTAGAACTTTTTATTTTATTTTTTTTAAACAGAGGCTAATGCTTTCTGAAATTCAAGGATTTAGATGTAAGTTTTTAGAAGGCTAACAATTCGTATTGAAGAAGTACTGGATCTAAACCAAATAAAAATCTAGTTGCTGAAGGACTTGTTAGCTACGGGAGGTAAATCATGTAAATAGAGAAGCTTAGAGTATCATTTTTCAAAAGCCATCAGAACAACCTATTCAAAAAGGTCAACAAACAGCTCTGCTCTGCTAAGGTCAGCTAGCTCTTCGAAATAAGGAAAAACATCTGCTTACCCTGAACAAGGAAAAACCTGCATAAAAACTTGGTTCAAATAAGGTAGCTGAAAAATTTCATTAATTTTTCATTGTTTCTCCAGTGAACATAACACTACACACCATCAAAGCAACGTAACAGTGGTGTTTTCTTTCTTTCTTTCCTTTTCTTTGTTTTATTAAATACTTACAGCTGTTGCCTCAATTCAGGTGAATCTTGAGGCGTTCCAAGTTGATTCAGCGTCCTCTGTATTTCCACAGCTATGATGGAAAATAAATGTATCATTATTACAAATGTTATGGCAACATATATTAAGCTAGATTTTAATACAGGCAATTGGGCAATTAGAAAAAGAAAAATAAAGAGATGAATATAGAAAACGTTAACTGAGAAAAAATTAAAAACGAGTGGTTTATTTAAATCTAGTTAGTTAGAATAATGAATTCATTTTCAAGAGGAAATTGCGTGGGGAGGTTAACATGTAAAACTGTACTTATGATCCAGAAATATTATTTTCTCCCCTGTCCCCTCAGATCATTTAAAACAATGGCACATGGACTTTCACTTATCTCCACAGGCATAAAAACTATGAGGAAAATAATTGTAACAGTTACATAAGTTAGTAGAATATAAAATGAATGAATTATTGTTAATAAACGGGAGGAATAATGGAACTGAAATGATTATTTTGTAATTTTCTGTGTAATAACAGATGCAGGCAAGCATCATTAAAGAATGCTGTAACCACAGGACAGTCACAGAATCTCAAGTCATCCCCACACAGGGCGCCTGGGTGGCTCAGTCGGTTAAGCATCCAACTTCAGCTCAGGTCATGATCTCAAGGTTCGTGGGTTTGAGCCCCGCATCAGGCTCTGTGCTGACAGCTAGCTCAGAGCCTGGAGTCTGCTTCAGATTCTGTGTCTCCCTCTCTCTCTGACCCTCCCCTGTTCATGCTGTCTCTCTCTCTCTCTCTCTCAGAAATAAATTAAAAAAAAAATCATCCCCACACCCACTAATTATAAAAGAATTAACTTCATCTTAGATAAACTTGCTGCTTACAGCAAAATGATCCAATTCAGCAGCACCAATGAGACAACCTGGCAGGATGAGATTCCTGACAGGATGCAATGAGAAGTCACAATAGGATCTATGAAATGTTTAACCTGAATCTAATCGTGAGGAGAAAAAAATCAGACCAATCTAGACTGCAAGATAATCTACAAAAAAACTGGTCTAGGCTTTTAAAAATGTCAATGTCACAAAAGGTGGGGAAGAGACAAGGCAAGGGGGCCTCTCAAATTAAGAACTAAAAGCACCCAAAGGGTAATGCTGGATTTTGGAGTGGATTCTAAATCAGAAGAAAAAAATGTTATACGATAAAACGTGGGGCAACTGAAGAAACATGGATTCGATTTTGAAATTCCAATTTGGAGAGAGAGATACTGAACTTAAGTGTAAAAACGACAACACCTGGTGAACCCAGGTAAAGAGACTAGTTCAGTGCACTATCCTTGTCTGTAGGTTTCAAACATTTAAAATGAGAAGTCAAGAGGTAAAATTCATGCTAAGCTCACAAAGTCTATAAACACTCCCAACTTTATTTTAAAAAAGATTATTCCTCACAAAAAGGGAGGTCTGATAGCTTTATGTATGTGTGCAGACAAATAAAATGTCAAGTAGAAGTTGAAAATCCGTCTCAAAGTAAAGAATTTACACATTTCCAAAAACAAGAGAAAAATGGCCCAATCCACCCACACTCTTTTGATTTCAAATGAGTAGCTTATTTATACTGCTTAAATGTTTTTAAACAGCCATTATTTATTTATGGGATCAAGGGACTGACTGTATCCTAAATGCAGGGTAACTTTTGTTCATTGAGGATGATGTAATGACACTGCTTTCAAGTCAAAGCTGAAAAATAGAAATACTGAGAAGGAATCATATAGCATATAGTAACTGTTAACCATTCAGCTAGTTTCAAAAGAATTTCTTTTAGCCTTTTTTGGCGGGGAGGAGTAGGAGATAGGAGGGCAGAGAAATCTTGTTTGCTGCCTGCTATTAGCTATATGTTTCCTTCTGAAACTCAACGGACTTTCTTGGACCACCTCATCGGGATTGAAAGCTTTTATTTAAAAAAAAAAAAAAAAAGTATGTTGATAAGACAAACTATAGCATGAGCATTTGTCCTGTCATTTAAAAAGGTCATACATATTAGGAGTGCCTGGGTGGCTCAGGTGGTTGAGTGTCCAACTTTCTAATTTCAGCTCAGGTCATGATCTCAGGGTCATGGGATCAAGTTCCACATTAGGCTCTGCTCTGAGTGTGGAGACTGCTTGATTTTCTTTCTCTCTACCTCTGCCCCTCTCCCTAGCTTACACATGCCTGCCCTTTCTCTCTCTCTCTCTCTCTCTCTCAAACCAAAACAAACCAGTCTTATTAAGTGGGAGAAAACAGATTATTACAGAAATGACATCCGGAAAACTAACCACTTGGGAGCTAAAATAGAAAACTACCTTACTCATATAGCAAAATAAATCTGTGATTATTAAGTTAAATATTAAAAACTGGAAATCATTAAACTGCTATATGAAACTACACACATAAATTTATTATATGATCTTGGAGTGAGGGATAAAATATTATCTAAGCATGATCTAAAACTAAACACCATGAAGAACAATATGACAAACCTGACAACATACAAAAAAAATTTTTAATGCTATATGAAAATGTGTATCTGTATTGCTAATACATATCACGTGTGTGTGTAAAACGTCTGCATCATGTGAACAAAGAGGTTAATATCCCTAATATATAAAAAAACTTTTATAGTTTTTATAAAGTTTTATAAAAAAAAACTCCTACAAATTGCTAACTGAAAAAGTCCAGTGCAAAAAGGGTAAAAAATGTCATTAAATTTATAGTTAGCAAATAAACATATCAGAAATTCAACTTCACTGATAATCAACTTTTCACATATCAGATTGGTAAAAGTTAAGAAAAATTAACTACGTTTATTACCATCAAAATTACCATCAAAAGCCTTAAAAACAAAAGGTAGGGACATATATAAGGAGCATTACCCATAATGCATGCAGACCTGCAAATAACTGAGAAAAGGTCGAACAAGCCAGTACAAAAATGAGCCAAGAATAGGGATTTCAAAATTATTCAAGCCTATCCATCTTAAAAAGCATGAACAACCCTCACATATGAATGCTAAGTAAAACTGTTCAGCCCTTAGAAAAAATTAAGTAGAACTGCTTCTAATAGGCCCAGCAGGAACCAATCCGCCAAGTGGTTATCTCTCTGGTATTTTTAACTGATACACTCAGCAACCCCAGCTTTCACGCTTACTCCCTGAGTGAAGGCTCTTACAGGAAAGGATTCAGAAGCTCCTAAGGGCTCTGCACTCTAACAGAACAGTAAACCAAGAGCAGCACCCTGTGGAAACTCTCAGAAATGCCACAAGCTCAAGGTAGTGATGCCTCTCCTATTCTCATTTAATTGGCCCATCTTGAGATGCAAATAGTCAAGACAGCTTAGCAGAAGCCTACTGAGATGGTGACTCCAATGGCAATGACCCCCAAAATGGGACCTGTTTATGGAATGGATCATCACAATCTCTGGCACCATGTATCTAGTGCTGATACAGTAAACACTTCCGGCTCTATCCTAAAAATAGAGAACACGGGAAGGGGTCACATTCAACTGGGTGGTACAGCAGCTAGCCTTCACAGCCTCACCTCAGGGCTGCATACGTTTGCCTCTGTATTCCAATTTAGTGTCCAAAGATACTGATCATCTCCTCTGACAGAATACTGAATAGTCCAATACGCTGTTTACATTTGCTTTTAAGACCTGAGGAGTGAGAAGTGACATCTGCTTTTAGGTGCCTTGGAAGGACAGAAGTATGCCAGCAGGCAGAGGACAAACTCTATGAAAATACAGGGCCCTCTTTCCCCCTGGTCCATTAATCTGTACGGACTGCCAACACACTTTGGCAAAGTAAATGACAAATGGCTTTCTTTGCCGTCTCAGCTACAAATAGGGAACAGTGCTAGTTTAGACTTTTTACACTGCTGCCATTTTACTGAATGCTCCAAAAGGTTGCCAGCTCTAGCTTGAACCCCCCGAAAGAGAAGGCTATCCAGCTAGCTCGCGTGGCATCACAGGTGCTCTACACTTGGCTATAATCACCTAGGTGATCTAATGCCAACTTAAGTGCCTGTGGTATCAGGATACTCTATACAAGTAGGTGCAAGTCCCAACAGGAACAAACACAGGAATCCTTTAGAATCCTGGAGCAATCATGCTCCCTTTGCAACCAATGTTATCCTTTTGAGGAGTAAGTCTAGTCTTGCTACTGAGCCTGGGGGAAAGAGGAAACAATGTCAATACCAGGTAACCAGGTGACTGAGCTGCCCATTACCTAAATTGGGTTATTACATTATCTTGTTAGTTCTCTATTTTGTTCTGTGGATGTCAGTCAGACTGTCCCTTACCCCCACTCCTACAGCGTCAATGGGGTAATAAGCTAGCTATGGTGCAGGGATAAAAGTCATACATAGGCTCACCAACACGGACTTCCCCTTCCACAGACCATCAGGATTACTGGCAACGCCATGTACCAAACTGCAGCAGCAGCGGTCAAAAGTAAGGATGTGAAATGGTGCCACTCTTGGGGGTATTTGCCAGCCACCCAGTGAAAAGATAACAATGTTTCTTCCATCCTGAATGAGAAAGAATTTTATGTTCACTGAAGGAGTGATTATGGATTTTGTTATGCTTCCTCTACTCTCTTCCCCCCATGTTTCTACCAGTTTCCTAATCCATGGATTAGTCACAAGCATGGTATTCCACACACCCGGTTCTGATTAAGATTATCCACTTTACAGAGAAAAAGAAGGCCAGATCATCCAAAGACAATGGAGTTCATTGGTCTGCCAGTACCCCATTATCCAGAAGCTGCTGGACTTCTAGAATATTTACTGGCCTATTTTAGCCTCCTTTATGGTGTCCATTGGGAGACAATATCCTGGCAAGGCGAAATTCTGTCCTCCAGGAGGATCTTTATGCTCTCTCAAAGAATAACCACTCCAGGGTGCTGTTTTACCCACAGCCAGGAAGAAACCTTGGGAACTAAGTGGTAAAAGTGAAAAGAATCATTTCACATTTGCACCTCACTACCCATCTGCAAATTTCCTTCCATGTGCCGCGGTTAACTTAGAGACAAGAATCAAGTGAGGGAAACAGCCAC